GAGTTGGCACTGAAGATTGCTAGTAAAATTAGAGCTAATGAGAGGTTTGCAGTGTATGTCATTATTCCAATGTGGCCTGAAGGTGATCCTAAATCTGATCCCATGCAGGAAATTCTCTTTTGGCAGGTTATTCTCTTTTCCTGAACTCTTATCAACGAAAAGTGTCAAATGGTATCTCTTCTTTGAAATAAAAACATGACACAATGATGTCAACAAGACATAATTGTTTGTCATTATTTCAGTTACCCTCTTGTTTCATCTTGAAAGATATGTCATCTTGCTCCATTGCTAATCGGTAGTTGGTTCAGAGCTAAGATTTAATAGTTTTTATGTTACGGTGGAACTATTGTTTCATTATTTCAGAAAGGATTATGAAATCTCTTTTATTTATTTATTTATTTTTATTTTTTTATATCTACTTTTGTTTCTTTCAGTATCAGACAATGCAGATGATGTATGAAGTTGTTGCAAATGAATTAAGATCCATGCAGCTTCCTGACTCCCATCCTCAAGATTACCTCAATTTCTATTGTCTCGGTAACAGGGAAAAAATGCCTGAGGAAAAGCTGGCTGGCAATGGTGATAAGGTAACTGTTTGAGATAAAATCTCTTTCTTTTTTTCTTCCTTTTGATCTTATAATGAATATGATTCACTTAACTACAATCTTCAAGGAGAAGTTGACTCAACTACAATCTTCTCTTCCAGGTCTCTGATTCACAAAAATTTCAGAGATTCATGATTTATGTGCATGCTAAGGGAATGATTGTAGATGATGAATATGTGATAATTGGATCTGCTAATATTAACCAAAGATCAATGGCTGGTACAAAAGATACTGAGTTAGCTATGGGTGCCTATCAGCCTCATCACACATGGGCTAGGAAGAAAAGGCATCCACGCGGCCAGGTTTGCATTTTCTTGCTTCACATTCTTGGGAACCGTTTTGTTAATTTTATGAATCAACTTTTCTTATCTGGCAACTTTCAAAAATGCTTGATCTATTTTTCCTCTGCTTTCACTGGACCAAGGCTGCCATGTAGAGAATGTTACTTCATTGTTTCCTATACAAACTAAAGCCCTTCCCTGCATCCTGCAGGTATATGGGTATAGAACATCACTGTGGGCAGAGCATCTTGGGACCGTGGATAAATGCTTCAATGAGCCAGAAAGCCTGGAATGTGTAAAGGCGGTGAACGCAATCGCTGAAGATAACTGGAAGAGATTCACAGCTGATGAATTTACATCACTGCAGGGCCACCTTCTCAAGTATCCTATTCAGGTAGGTGAAGATGGAAAAGTAGGTCCCGAGCCCGGATTTGAGAACTTCCCAGATGTTGGTGGTAAAGTAATTGGAGCACAGTCCCGTAAGGTTCCCGATATTCTTACCACGTAATCTTTCTGGGTTCATACAAGACGAGTGATGATGCAACATTATCATCTCTCTCAAACTTTTTGGGTTTTTAATTATTGGTTAATTCTTTAGCCAAAAGCCAAAATTGCTACTGATTAAGTTTTTTTTTTTTTTTTTTGATCTTGAGTTGCACATTCGTTTCATGTCTCTTAACTTTTACTGAAGTTGTTCAGTTTGTTAGAATTAATTCATTGTTCAAGTGGAGTTTATAAATGTGTGACTGTGTGGAATATTGTGTAATTAGGATTGATTGTGGAATTTTTTTTTTTTTCAATAAGAAAGGAATAAAGTATTTTATTAATGAATTTCTTTAACGTGCGAGCATATATAAGGATGTAATCACTGTATCTATTAGTTATTAAATTATGTAAAAAAATAAATTTTA